AGATCTACTGCTATCGTCTCAAACTCAAAACCCCCCAAACAAAGTTCAGTGCCCTCTTTTCTTCCAACAATCTAAATCCTCTACCTGATTTCCTTCCTTTAACGAGATCATATTTTGACGAAAAGTTCAACATGGTCGCCAAATTGTAAAACAAGCAGATTATCTTTTTCTTCTTATAGTTTTCTTATTATTGTTTGTTTACATAGTTCTTACTATCCCTAATTATATTAGTGATCTATGATTAATTTTAATTTTGAGGTAAACTCTACTTCTGAAAGAGAGGGATCTATAGAGGTATTTTGAGCCAAGTTACAAGACCATTCCTGTAAATGACAACTCTCCAGTAATAATTAAATTATTTACTTCTAAATTTTATTAGTGTTCCATTGTGAAAGGAAGCTGTCACTCCTTCATATTTCTGCAGGTTGATTATTGTAGCTGGTCAATAGTTGTTGGTAGTAGAATATGATTTAAAACAGCAAGTTGGAATTCCTTCAACTGAATTTGACCATCACCATTCCTTACATATACTCTATGCCTATACCATTCTTTTTGCATAGACTATTTTCTTTATATCTCATTTCTTCTCAACAAGCATCTTACAAGATCCAGCAAAAGACCAAGCCTTCTGGATTGCTTCCCTATCCCACATTCCCTACAACATTACTGTTTGTGTTTTCCTTTTGTCACTTGGCCCTCTGTATTTTCTCCCCTGCTGGATTTTAAGTTCCATAATGGGAAAGGTGGTAGTTTCCCAATCATCCATAGCCAAATTGTACCTAGCACAAAAGGCTGTGCATAGAATTTGGTGAAGAAATCTTCTTGAATTGCTCAACATTGTACATTAAACATATATTTGTTGATTGACTCACTTCAGTGCATAGTTGTGTGGTTAAGGGAGAGAATAATACAGAAGAGGAAATATTTTGTAAGTTGTTTTCTGAATCTCCAGGGCAAACTGCTTGAGGCATTGACTAGAAAACTGGGCCATAATTCTTCTATACTTGGGAAAATGTATGATTATTAATAGATACAAAGGGAAGAAGCACATATTATGTGTAGCATAATTTTTAAAAAGCTATATAGAATCCTGCTACTGTAGCTGCATATAAGCAACCATCTTAATAGTAAGTTTATTCCTTTAAGTATTTTTCTCTTCAATATCTTACATAAGAAAACGGAGCCAACATTAAAAAGGATTTTCCTCATCCTCCAAAACATACCAAAGGCAAAATCCAGAAATTCTATGCCAAAATGTTTTACTTAGGCTTTGAAGTAAACCAAGAAAACATTTTATTTGTGATTACCATGTAGTCTCAAATTCACACATTCAATTTTTGACACAGTGTACCATAATTTGCTCAAGTAGCAAGTCTGTGTTGGTATCAAACTGTAAAGCTGAAAAGTAAAATTGTATGTTATGAAAATAATCGATTTAAACAAAATGTTTTGTTCCCCTGCTTTTGGAATTTGTTCTGCAAGCTCTTCATAATCCTCACCTGTCTTCATTTCAAAAAAAGCTGAACACTGCTGTTTTGCTCTTTATTTTATTAATATGAGAACTAGAAACCAAAAGCCATGGAAGAATTGTTTCAAAAAACAGCAACATCTGAGCAAAGTGTGAAACTTTCAAAAACTTAGAAATTCATATTTCTTATGTCTGTTTATGAAATTTTCTCACTTGTGTTTAATAATTCCTCTTTACATTTCTTGTACCTGACATATTCTAATAATGAAATCTTCCAATTGTGTTATAGTAGTAAATATTTTTGTTCTGCTGTTTTTGCCTTAATAAAACTCACTTACTAAAAAGTAGAAATTATGCCAAGATAAGAGAAATAAAATATCATCTGCAGGCTTACAATAATAGTCTAAGAAAATGCTAGAAATTGCATAATGATATTACACTGATCAAATTTTGTACTAGTAGAAGCAACAAGAACTCTCATAAATTGCTACAAAGAGTGTAAATAGGTCCTACTACTTTGGAAAACTTGCAGTATCTACTAAGACTAAACATACTCATACACACTCTGTGATTCAGCAATTCCTCTCCTAGAGAAAATCTTGGACCCAATCCACACAGTCTCCAAATGCGTGTATCTACATGCATTCATGTGTATTTGCAAAAAGACATGTTCAAGGATGTTCATAGCAGCATCGCCAAAACATAAAAAATACCCAAATATTCCTCAACAGGACAATGGATAAATTGTGATGTCTTCATATAATGGAATATCGTACAGCAATGAGAATTAAAAAGCTATTGTTGCAGGCAACGATATGGATAAATCACATAAATATAACGTTCATAAAAATAAAGTACGCTCAAATGAGTACTTAAAGTTCAGAAGTAAGAAAAAGATATTTATTGTTCTATAAGTCAAGATAGTGATTATCTTTGGGCAAAGTAGTGCCTGGAAAGTGAAATGGTGGTGGGAGGGGGTGGGGTGAGTGCTTCCATGATATTGACAATTCTTTTTTTTCAAGTAATTTTATTGCTATCATAATGGTTTATAACATTGTATAGTTTTGGGTGTACATTATTCTTTATCAATTTCTGAAAACGCTTCATCTTGTTCATCCCCAGTAGTCTAATTTTTGTGCATCACCATACATATGTGCCCCTTTATCCTTTTTGCCCAGCCCCCAAACCCCTTCCCTTCTGGTAACCACTAATCTGCCCTCTTTATCCATGACAATTCTACTTTTTGATCCATGGGCTTTTTACATGGGTGTGTTACCTTTGCAAAACTTTATATGGAATCTTATTTGTGCACTTTTCTCTGCATGTTGTATCTCAATAAAAAATTTTTAAATCTTTACAGTCTATGAAAAAAAGCTTATACTAGCAAATTAATTATAAATGTCTATGGTTTCTGACTGCTGTTCCTGACTCCAAATTGCCTTAGAAATAATATTTTTAAATTAGAAAGATATATTTATCAATTAACACTAAATACTTTTTTATCTTTATTTCTTACTTTACGTATTTCCTTTTTGCTCAATACATCACAAATAGACTTAGTAAGTAAAGAATAGTTTTCATAAAGATATTTATTTTACCAAATATTTCCAGTAGAGGGAGCTTCACTTTCTTTACTGTAGAAAATTGTCTTTCAAGGGCCATCATCGAAAATAAAAATATTTAATTTCTTTACATACGATTAAGTTCTTCATCAAGTGATGAGTTACTCTCATCTAAGACTAGCCTAAGATAGAGAAAAGTCTTACTCGATTTATGAAAGAAGAAAGCTAAACTTGACAGTGAAGGAGATATGTATCGCACAAACTTCTATATTGGGTATGTGTTGTTTAAGGGATTAAATTTTTGGATTATTCATAAAATGCATTTTTAACTAAAGTTATTTAATATTAATGAAGGTAAATTCTTATAATTATGATCATCAATTTGAAATAAAATTTTTGTGAATTTCAATAAAATTACATAAAAATCAGAGGATTGAGTGGTGAAGATTACATAATCTATCTAAGATTATATTATATATCTAAGATTATAGCAAATATCATGGTAAATTGTCATTACACAAACTTGACTTCATTGACCAAAATGTCTCAGCTACTGATATTAAACTTCCTAAAACTAAGTGTCTGTCAACGAAGCTATTTTGATATCTTTTAAAAATAAATATGTATGTTATCATCTAAGATACTAAGAAATAATTACAGTAAAGTGGTCAAATTCTCTTATAACATGAATTTTTTTCTCCTTTTAATGAAATTTTCGCAACTATAAAAGCTCTTAACTCTTTCTTTTGATCACTACATGTAAAATTTGTGACAATTACAAAGTTATAAAAATTTACTGTCATATTAAAATACTTTTCACTGAAAATATTCTGGTTTATAATAGTTCAATCCCTTCAGAAAAAAATCAATAATTTCAGAAATGTAATAATCTTCACAACTAGTTCCTGTTAATACAGGCATATCAAAATAATATAACTTTCTGTAAGTGAGTTTTTATGAGATATGCTATGTTTAGCACGTCTAAAGATGAAAAACTGACCTAGCAACCCAGAAAAGAATGTTTGTATACTTCAAATAGAAGTCAACATTCTTATAACTTACTCTACTTATTTGATTTCAATCCTCTTGAAAAGCTTGTGAGCCATAAAAATGGAAACTTTAAGGTAATTATAATAGTGACATAAAATTTACTTTGTGGCTCAAAAATCTATATGAGCAGAATTTTGCTTATACTTTGTTTGGTTAAGAATAGGGGTTAAATTTTCTGATCTTTTGCCTAGTCTGTCTTCTCTTCTTTAAATTAATCAAAAAGAAAAAAACAAGTCTACCAAATATGACTCAACATGATAAAGAAATGACATGTCACAGAACAATTTTATTCTTCAATAGGTTTCATATAATTTTACTTTCTCCAAAAGGATTATTCTTGACATAGAATGTATCTAATGATTTATTTATTATTTTCCCTCCATGTATTACCTGAACTAAGTACTTCCAAGGCCTTTATTTTCATATTTATTTAACTTAAATTCTGGATATGTAAACAATGTTCAGAATTTCTCTGATCAGTACATGCGTATGTTCTAGAGTTTTTGCCTTTTAAAAAGTTAATAATGCTCCATTTCTAATTACTAAATGCTTTGTAACTTTCAAAAAGAGAATAACACCCAGAATTTATAATTCACTTAGAAAAATAAAACTCTAAAAGCAACTTGAGAAAGGAAATCTAGGCTTTGGAAATAATTTTTCTCGGGTAATTCTCAGCTGCAAATAATATGAAATGCCAGCTACTAAAATGCACTAATTAGTGAAAATAGAGCAAAGTTACGTGTTTTCAGAGGTCTCAAAAAAATACCCTGATAGATGGGTTTAGACAGAAAACAATACGATTTAAGGGATACTTTCAACAAATCAATTTCTAATTGCATTCTTGGCTTCATCAATAACCAGTGGTTGCAAGCTAGTACACAGGCTTTAATGAGTTCTCTGTTAAACACAAGTGGACTCACCTGAGTAGCAGTGCTGCTTCCCAGAAGTAAAATCCCGAAACTAATGTTCGAAAATGTCTCACGTGGGCCATGATACGACGAGATATTCACGATCCTGAAATTAGTCTTATCCAAGGCATGGGGAAGGAGAAAGCCAGGAATGAAAATGTGCAATCTACTCCGTGTGGTGATGGAGACAGACGCCTGGAAAGCTTCAGCACCTTAGACAGCTCCCTGCAGTCCGTGACGATCCTCTCTTTCAAACACGTGAAATTCCCGTTTGACCCCTTCTCTGAGCATTGAGCAGACCGGAGATTCACAGGGTTACAAGTGTGAAGATGATTTATACAGTGAAAGCGGAATAAGGAGTGAGATGAAATGTCCGAAGTGCCTAGGTTCTGGGCAACAGTTCACTGGAGCCCTAGCCGCAAAAGAAGAATGCTTGTCTTTTCTTGACTCCGACTCACGACTGGAGAAAGGACAGAAGTCACAGCTGGAACAACGATGCTTCTTCACCTGCTCCAAGCGCCACCCGTCCGGATCCCACTCTCCACCTTTGGGTAAAATCTGAGATAGCCAGCGCGGCAAAGGGAAGAGGGGGCGGGGTCAACGATGCTGTCTTGCCCGCCAATCACGACTGTACAGAGGGACAGAGTGACAGACCATTCATGACGGTAGGCGGTGCTTAGCGCTTCACCCTTAAAAAAAAAAAAAAAAAAGCAGTGAGCGACTGATGCAGAGCCTAAACCGCGACTGGAGGGAGTTGCAGAAAGGAAGCTTCAGGGCTAAGAGCTAAGAAGAGTCAGAGGCTTTTGTGGACTAGGTAGCACAGTTGCGCTGGATGAACCCTCCTTTGTTCCCTCCCAGGAAAATGCACAATTTAGTTAAAGAAAGGTCTTTAGGATATGACTCCGTCTCTTTGACCCTGCATCGAAATGAAACGACATAGAAATGTCAACAGTAAACCCAGACTCTTGCAAAGGGCTAGAGAAGAGCAGAGAGAGTGGTGTTTGAGTACCAGAGGAACAGGAGAATCAGCTGTTTCTGGAATTCTCTCATAACCCTGGCCAGCTTCTGGTAGGGAAGCGTTATTAACTAGGTTAAGTTGAGTTTCCTTCAGTCATAATAAGGGTTCTAAAAAGATGAAGGTGGGAAATCTAAAGAGATGGCTACTAGAGGCATAAGGCCACCCACCATTTTTTTCTTAACACGTTTTCCATATCTTAACAGTAAGTTCAAGTGAGAAAGACAGGTAGGTCATGTGGTACATCTGTTTTTCTGTCATCCGTCTCACCATCCCCTCCCCATGACCATTTACATGGGGACTTGGATTGGAAGACTGGAAAGGAAAAGTAAATCTGTGTGTATTTTTATTTAATGGAATCTTTTAAAATTAAAACTTATGCTTTTAGATCTTTGTAGTGGTTTTTATTTACTATCAACCAAGATCAAAATGTTCGTTCCTTGAATCTTAACCTCTCCCCAAAACTCTCTCGGATATTTATTCTGAAAGCCTTACTTTACTCTTAATTTTCTCAATGACTAAACTACATGCCAAGAAGATCTTCTTACTCCTTCTCACAAACGTTTTCTCTTTAATTAAATTCCACCTGCAATTAACATATCAATTATCCTGTAATTCTCTATTTAACTGGAAGAGTATGGCATTATCTTCCGACCTTCTCAAATGATGACACAGTGAAAAAAAATCTCTTTTCTCTTTACTCTTTAGTAGACAAGCCTATTTACATTCAGTGAAAATAAAGAACTGTTAAATTTATTTCCATACGTTATTACTGTACCTGTCTGTTTTCAGATCTTGTTTTTCTGATTTAAATTACAGACTTTCAGAAGTCTCACAAGGAATATCATTGATTCTGCCCATGAATATTTGTGTCCTGAGAAGGTTCACACAATTTTAATTAACTCAGTTTTTGAATGAATCCCTTGAAAGCTAAGTACAAATGCTTTTCAGTTGGTCATTCTTTGAATAGCAGTAATTGTTTTAAAAACTGCACATAATCAAAAAACAAAACTTACCATATTTCAAGAAGACTTGGATTCCTTGTCTTGTTTTACCACTTACTGAGTATCTCTAGAAAAGTAATCTACTTTTAAAAATATCTTTACTTAATATATCTTTAAAAAATATATATGTATTGAAGAAATTGAATTAAATGAACTCTGAGATTCATCCTCTGGCCAAAGGAGACAACCAATAAATGTTTACTTAACTGAGCAAATTAATAGATAATATTTAAAGTTCTGTGTTTAGGTTAATCTGGATAGTTATGTTACATGACAGCTTAAAAGGTAGAATGATTTTAACTATTTCATCTCATCATTAACATGAAAGCGTAGGAATATTATACTTTATCAAATTAATATATATCTAGTCAATCAGTTTCTCGGATATCAACGTCATATAAGAGGATGCCTGGAATCCGCATATTATTCACTTTTCATAGCACCATGATTATTTCCTTCAAATTATTTATGACAAGCTATCATCTTCCTCATTTATTTGTCTGACTTTTCCACTGGAGTGAGGATAATTGGCATTATTTAGCACAGAACCTAGCATATAGTAGATACTCAATATTTGTTGAATGCCCTAGTGATCATATTAGAAACAAAATATATTTCTTTAAATAATTGCTAAATTCATGAACTTGTTGCAGTGCACTGGGTATTGGATTAAATTTGATTAAATAAATTAGAAATTAATGGAAGAGTGGATTGTAGTGCCTTGTTTCTTTTAGTTAATATTTGATAGTTAATTTTCCAGCACTTCCTGTCTATGGATTTTTATCTTGTTTGTTTTTAATTCCTATAAGGCCAAAATTAATTTCATGCATCTACATATTTGTGGTAGCTATTCTTATACATTTTACTCTCTTGAAAATGATAGTTCTGACTGGATGAGTAGGTAAATGAAGGTGTTTTTGGAAAAAAGAGCAATCTATGGCTGATAACTAACTGGCTAGCCCATTCATGTAAAATTAACATGGATTCTGACGTGGCCAAATCTCTGCTTTTCTCCTTGTGGGCTTTGTTATTTCTTTCTTGTACTAATGGATCATATTTCACATTATACAAGACATGGGACTTAAGAGGTTAATGAGATATTAATCTTCATCATATTTAATATTTTCTTTTTACAGAAGAATTAATTGTAGCCCAAAGTGGTTAAACATACAAACAAGCCCTCATATTCAGCAAGTTGAAGATATCAAACTTGAATTGGGTGCTTCTGGCTCATTGTTTAGTATATTGTCCACTACCATAGAGCTACCTTTAATGCCATATTTACACTATTGTTTCAAAATATATAAATATTGTCTAAGCTACAGAAAAGTAGATCAATATCAATCTAATGATAAAGATTTTCTCGTATGTTCAGTGGTTATTACCAATGATCTAAAGCATATAGTATTGTATAGATATTGCTAAAATGACTTGTTATTTAGTACAAGACATTTACTTTTTGAAGTTAATGCAGTATGAAGTTAGCAATAGTTTACTGAGAGATGATAAGATTCAGTACCGTTGGGTAATTCTAAGCATCTCAACAAAAGCTTATGTATACTTCAAAATACTGGTTTAAAAGGTTGCAAAAAGTAATGTCACTTTTGGAAGAATTAGAATATTCTCATCTTTGAATTAACACTCTCTGGGAAGTAAAATAAAGTTTTAATTTAGGAATCAATCAGAAAGTCACTCGTTGAATACAAATCAGGTAGAAGAGAATTAATCCTATGTCAGTGATAGATACTATCACCAAGTATGTGAGCCCAATGAATTTATTTTTTGTATAAGAATCTATCTACTGAACAGACTACATACAATAATCATGACATGTTAGCTGATCAGGCGACTCTCTTTTTGTTATAGTGGTAGAAATATCCAATAATTTATCTCCATTTCCTTGTCCAGGCGACAAATTTTCTCATACGAATGTCAGCAATAACCTAATTGTTCCTCTTGCTTGCCCTCTTATTCCCCTTGATCAATCCTCCACTGTGACTATTAAGGGTTTTTTGTTTGTTTGATTTAGTAAATCAGATGATGCTACTTTTGTTCCTAAAAACTTTCAGTGCCTTTCCATTGCAACAGATTAAAATCCACATTCCTCTTCACAACTGACAAGGTTCTGAATGATTTTCCATTGATAATCTCCTTAGCTTCACTTTTTACTAGTCTCTCTTTTCCCCGACTTTGCACCAGTCACATGAGCTGTTTCTTGTCTCATGATTTTTCTACTTCAAACACTTTTCTTCTTAAGCTTCCTATGTCTAGTCTCTTTTCAGGCGTTAACTCACAGTATGAATATTTCTCTCTCTTTCTTTCTACAAAAAGTTTCCTTTTACCTTTATATCATGGTTTATTTCCTTCAAAGATTAAGTGATAATTTGATGTTTGCCTTTGTTTGAATACTCCTGGAAGGCAGGGGGACTATGCGTCTTTGTGCCTACAGTGTCTGGCACATAGTAAGTGATCAATACATATTTCTTGAGTGAATGAATGTATAAACATTCTTTGATTTTTGGTTCTCCCTTTTCTAGAGTCCATCCTTACTAATCTCATTTAACTCATTTTTCTTTATAAAATTATTTAAGATCTTTAGATTGTAGTGTTTTTTCCATGCTAAACATATGCCTTGATCATCTAAAAATAACCTTCAAAAAGATGCTGCTAAGACCAATGTCAAAGAGTGTACCGCCTATATTTTCTTCTAGGAGTTTTATGGTTTCAGGTCTTATATTCTAATATTTAATCCATTTTGAGTTAATTTGTGTATGGTATAAGGTAATGGTCTACTTTCATTCTTTTGCATGTGGCTGTCCAGTCTTCCCAGCACCATTTATTGAAGAGACTTTCCTTTCTCCATTGTATGTTCTTGGCTCCTTTGTCAAAGATTAGCTGCTCATAGATGTGTGATTTTATTTCTGGGCTTTCAATTCTGTTCCATTGATCAATGTGTCTGTTTTTGGGCCAGTACCACGCTGTTTTGATTACTATAGCATTGTAGTGTATTTTGAAGTCAGGGATTGTGATGCATCCAGCTTTGCTCTTTTTTTCTCAGGATTACTTTAGCTATTCGGGGTCTTTTGTTGTTCCATATAAATTTTAAGATTCTTTGTTCTACTTCCACGAAGAATGTCATTGGGATTCTGATGTATTGGATTAAATCTGTGGATTGCTTTAGGAAATAAGGACATTTTAACTATGTTTATTCTTCCTATCCATGAGCATGGAATATCTTTCCATTTCTTTACATCATCTTCCGTTTCTTCCAATAATGTCTTATAGTTTTCAGTGTATAGGTCTTTCACCTCCTTGGTTAAATTTATTCCTAGATATTTTATTCTTCTTATTGTTATTGCAAATTGGATTGTGTTCTTGACTTCTCTTTCCACTAGTTCATTATTAGTGTATAAAAATGCAACTGACATTTGTAAGTTGATTTTGTACTCTGCAATTTTGCTGTAGTTGTTGATTATTTCTACTAGTTTTCTGGTGGATTCTTTAGGGTGTTCTATATATAAAATCATGTCATCCACAA